GCGCTATTTTAGCGTGCATGGCGATGGTGTTATCCATTTCAACCTAGAGCACATAGGTATAGCGTTTTTAACTCCAGATTGGATTAATTATTTTTCCTTTTTTTTGTTGCATGATTGTCTGGATGTCTATCGAACTTTACACCGAGGCTACAACTGGTCGAACTACACTTAGGTTTTGCCGAGCAGTGAGAAGCTGAAATGGGTTGTGACTATAGAGGCCAAATTAGGAAAGTTTCGATTTAGGAAGCACGTCAAACTGCAGAAAGGTTGATTACCTGGGGAAGTGAGCAAGGCCTAATGGAGGCTGCGTCACAGTGTAAGCAAAAGAAGAAAGAGGGCACAAACAGCAGGGAGAAGAAGGGGGAAAAGCTAACCTGGGGAAGACAAAAGGAGGAAGGTTAAACCAGCGAGCCGCTCTCCTTGGTGGCCGCTACCTCTACACGACTCACTCTTCCTGGGACTGCCTAAACTTGCGGTTCCGGTAGTAGGTGTTAAAGTGGAAGATGTTAATGGGGAGAGGCTCTTCATCGTCTAGCGGTTTCTCTCTAAGCTTCTTCTCCCCATCGACGTAATTGAACCACTTGTATTTGTTAAACTCCTCGACGTCCTTCTTAATGTATATGTGCTTAAAGTTGTACCTCTCCAATAGGTGCTTCTTCTTCTCTTCCGAGAGTTTCACCCCATACTTACTCCTTCCCCTAAGTCTATTTTTGACTGGAAGTAAATCGTAGACCCCTCTGATGGCTTTGTAATTGCATCCAGGGATGTCCTTGCATCTGCCACCTCGAACAAGTATGATGTTATGTGTATTCAAATTATGACCTATTCCTGGGATGTATACAGAGATAATTCTTCCTGTGGATAATCTTACTCGAGCGATTTTTTTCAATCCTGAATTTGGCTTCTTAGGAGTCTGCACTCGGACCTTTAAACATATTCCTCTCTTTTGTGGAGCTCCCTCTAACCACTTGGACCTCCAGTTTTTTTTTTTCAGCTTTGGTATCTGCTTGGGTCTCCTCTTGTAAAATAACCTCCCTCTTATGTTTTTTGTGCTAAATGCTTTGGACCATATGGGGGGGTTCATCGAGAGGAGGCCGTGCGGATAAAAGAGGGAAGTTTTCCTCGTGTGTCCCTTGGTCATTCGAGTCACTTCCATCCCGTTATCTTTTCTGTTCGTGGTCATACAGCTGTGATGCTGCACCTGTTCAGATGGTATTTCCACACCAGCACTGCTTTCTCCACCGGGGCGAACTCTAATCGGTAGGTACGTTGCGCGGGGTCTGATCCACAAGGTGGTGGTCCTTAATAGGGGGCCCCTACCGGGGCCGAGCCAGTCCCTATGGCTGTGACTGTGGCTCAAGAATGGGAACCTCCAAATGGTGGAGTGGCTATTTGCGGGGGACTTTAAACCTGAGAAAAGCTTCACAGCTGGGGCGAAGTTTACCCCGGGGACTCGCATCGTGTGTTTCGCCAGTGATGACAGCGTAGTTCCTTGAGGAAGCTCTCGTGCCAACCATGCCAGTCAATCGTGCGAGTCAGGCAACTTCCTAACGTAAGGTGGACTCGCCGTCATTTTTGCTGTCCCTCGAGTGGAGCTCCTCTTCTTATGCGTTCACCCCACGAAAGGGGGCATTCCACGTTGCACATTAGATTTTGCATCACTAAGGCGAGGAGGGATCGATAGCGCAGGACCTGGCTACGTGGCAATGAAACAACGCAGCAATGCAACAGGGGAGCAAGGTAAGTGCGCCGAAAAAAAGGGGGAAAAAATTATCTTACGAACGTACTAGCGTTTCAAAGCTGTTGCTAAGCTAGGGCAACAGAAAAAAGGCACTTTCGGGAGGCTTACACACGGAGGGCTGTATACGTGAAGACTCCGCTAAGCGGGACCCAGTGAAACGAAAAAAAAAAAAAAAGAAAAAAGAGGAGCAGCAAGAGGATGAGGAGGAGAAGAAGAAAGTGATTGTGCAGGAACAGATATATTTGCAAATTTTACAGATCAACTTCGCGTGCACGTGCACTGAGTGCATAGAAGAAATAACGGATTTGCAGGTATCGCGCTACATTTGGGGCAACTGCGCGAATTGTATGTGGCCTCATTTTATGCTGTCCTTTAAAGATTTTTTCGCCAATCACATTCGCACTTGATTCAGTTTCTTCGCCCATTTGGACTATGTTATTTTCAACGGAGAGTTTTCAGTGACCATAAGTCCGCCTCAATTGCGCTATATATGCAAATGCCCGTGCTCTCTTATAATTTCAAATTTACTTGTGCATTTCCGAAGCGCACAACTGCTCTTACACCATAAAATGTGGAATTGGTCACTCCGCGGGGCTTACAGAATTTAATGGTGAGAAATGAATTGACCCCGCATCCTTATTTGTGGCCATTCTTGGTTGCGTGTACTCTCGACATCAACTTTCTGGCTTCATGGATTTTTTTTTTTTTATGATACCTACAACGCGTATAAAATAAATTTTCACATCTGCCACGAATCATACAAGTCGTATGCACGTGTTTATTTTTTTCGCAGTCGTGTATGTATTTCTCACCTTCTTGTAACGAATTATTCTGATTTTCTCGGTAATAATTTGGAATATCTTCGGTTTATCCATTCAACCAATTTTTGCGTGGATATTCGCTTCCTTTATATTTTTACATTATTATGCAATCTGTGCCCTGAATAATTTGCGCATTAAAGATGTCAGTGTTATAATGCGCGTAACTTCCCAAGGCGCCAGGAAAATTATAATCATCAAGTGAATATCCTCTATATAATGTAACACATGTTTATGAATTGATCTTCACTGCCTATGTAAAAATATAATGGATGTATATACTTTTTTTATGTATATTTCTCATGTTTTAATGAAGGATTCTTCTTCTCCTGTATTTTTATGGTGAATTTGCTAGTGCCATTCAAACTAGACCCACTTCTCTAATACATAGATCTGTTACAATTTTTCCATTCTATATAGTTGGCTGCACTACGACCCTTCTGTATAATTGAAGATTTGGATACTATTATTAGTACAGTCAAAAGTTGGATGAATGGCATTTGGTTCTTTGTCATTTATGTCTCTCAGCTAATATCTCCAAAGTTACAATCCAACCGAGAAACATGAGAGATGTTACCTGCCCCTTTAAGGACGCTTGTAAGAATAGGCTCAGATATCTCCTGTATAATAGTGTTTATTACGTAATGATTTGTTAAAAATGTTATATTTATTAGTTGATGAAGGAAAGGAGGGTGCAATATTCTGATCAGGGTGGATATTGCAGTTTTCGATTAATTTAGCCACACCACTTTGTCCGATGACTACGAGAAGCTTATCTATAGTTCAGAGGAATATGACAATTTTGCCTATGATGCAATACAGTATATTAGGAACATTTACAATAGCTTAAATGGTTTTAACGCAGATGATAAGGAGGGTTCACAATTTTACATTCCCAGATGACAAAATATGCAACAAGCAGAAACTTCCCCCTACCCCTGTTGGTTTATCCTTGGGGTGAAATTAGCCTCTTAAGGATGTTACTCCTATTAGGAATATATCGGAATAGGAAATACAGGTGTAAGCCTCAGCGGGTGGATCTCGCCCTATCCGATGAAAACTTTTTAGAAGATACCCTGAGGGAATTTGTTTCTATTACACTTCAGGCATGTCCTGTTTTAAGAGTTGATTGCTGAATGGTTTCCCAGAATGAGTCCAATTACAAACTATTGGTATAGAAAATATCCGTATATTAAATATTTTCTGCAGTATGATTAAATTCGATTTGAGGGGGCGATCACGTGTACATTTGAGTATGGATTTCGTAGAACAATCAGCAACTGAGATACTGATCTAAGACAAATACCTAAGGATATTACTGTATTGATTATTCCTTCTAAGAGGGGTATCTTGTGCTATTATGGCGGATCGCTATAGTTCTACAAAGAACTCTATATAAAAGAGAAAAAAATGTACACACGGTTACATATGAAGTATACCATCATTTCGTAACCGAGGAATGAGAAGCTTTCGATGAGGATAATACGCTCGTGTAGGACTCTGTCGTCAGGGATTAGCGCTATGTCGATGGGGAGGAAGCGGTCTGCGGTGAGCAATGCCTATGCGATGGTTAGCCTAATAAGTGTTTTTTCGTGAGTAATGAAATACAGATGTTCCTTTTCTCAACACGTATACCTCTAGTAATTACAGAGGCGCGGGTATCCATAATAATATGAATGTTTGTGCACCCCGTGAGTAATATTCTGTGTCTTGTGTTTGTTTTTTTCTTTTTTTCTCAGTCTTGTGTAATGTTAATCATTTTATTGTCTTCTATTTTCTTTTTTATTCCTCATTTTCAGCTGTTCGATGTATGGATTCAAAGAATAATTTTCCGACTGAAGCATCCGTTCTTTGCAAGTGTGCCTTGGGGGTTATGTTCCTGAAACTTTAGCAATCTCCCTCACATGAGAAATGTGAGAAGGGAAACAAGTTTATTTGGAAAGAAATGGAAGGAAGCCGTAATTGCGTACAAGTGACGCCAATATTGCGGCATTCATTTTCCTCTATGTCTTGTAGTTAACATTTTGCTGAAGGATGATAGAACGTCAGAAGGATTTAGCGTTGAGTGCCATGGCACATGTGCAAATTTCTGTCTTTCTACATTGTCACCAGTCCTGGGATGTTACAGAGGATGATATAGAAAGAGTTCTAGGTGATGCAAATTGGAAGCGTCTCAAATGTGTAGAAGTGGAGCTCATGGGGGGGCAAAAGGAGCAGTGCCGAACTGTTACTTCTGAATGCTAATTACGATTCGGTGTTCCTACTCTTGTTTAGTAGGATGCACCTGACGAATCCTATTGCGGGGAATGTGCGAAATGAATCGTGCTCCAGGTTCTCTAGAGAAACAAAGAAAGATGACAATTAATATCTGTTCCTGCCATAAAGGATTTTTTTCCTGTGGGGGTTCTTGGCGCGCTTCCTGTGTTTCAATAAGTGAGATCAACTGTGTGCGTTTGCGGGCTTCATGAGATTCCTTTTATCTCCCTTTACAAACCCTCCCTTTTGGTACAGCGTCATCACCAAACAGGGGCTGCATATGACAACGGCACCTTCACCGGACGAAGAAGGATGATTAATCTATTAATACTGCACGCAGATACTTGTCTTCATAATCGTACAGGCGACATCACATGTAGAGTAGAAAAATAAGGAGTCATAACGACAGCAAATGCGTGCTGGATGCGGATGCCGTAACAGTGTCCTAACCTTCTTAAAAAATAAAACAACCGGTGTTTTTTCGCAGGAGATATTTGCTCCAGGGGGTACCTACTGCAAGGCTTGGTCCCAATGTTCATGAGGCCCTGAAGAAATTTTCTTAATGATTGCTGAAAAATTCAGGAGTTCACTTTGTGTTTCACATGGGCTATACGTTCGCATAAGAGAAGAAGAGAGTTGCCTGAAAGAAAAGATACATCACCGAGGGGAGAAGTTACATGACTGTCGTAATCTATCCTTTTTAGGAGTGAATCATGGAAGAGTGATTCCTCAATTCTTCCTTCTCTGTAGAGTAGAAACAGATTAAGACACCTTGACACTGAAATTATGTTGACAAGCGTGGCTCATACAGGATGTGTAGTGGAGAGAGGTGGAACAGAAACAAAGAGCGCTTAGGTTGCGGAATCTGCTTATTCTGGTTTATTTCGTCGAAGTCGACACAAAACTTGTTCTTTTTAGGCACACCCAAAGGGAGAATCTTCAAGGAACCCAAGGGAATAACAGAGGTATCAAAGAGTATGCAGTCTTAAAATATAATTAGAAAGAGTAGGATTACAAACGTTCAATTAATGATGGATTACAGAAAGAAAAAAGAGAAAAAAGAAGGAAAAAATCACAGCAGGACGGCGTCAGATTCAATAATATAGATATGTATATATAGGTAAGAAGTGTTTTTCTTGGGGTCAATGTGAGAGATTCTTTTAATAAACAATGAATACGTCCTATTCTCCTTCAACTGTACATGGTATTCCTATATGACGAGCATATAAGGACGCTGAGTAGAGGGAGGATATTTAAAATATTCCTACTTCGGGATCAGAACAACACGAGAGCAAATTCAGGAACAATGCATCCATGAAAGGAATATGGAGGAACGGGGAAATGTCCATTTCAACATGAGTATCACTGCCCCATTAGAAGGAGAAAGGATGATGAAAGAAATTGGAAAAAGAGTCTCCTTGTTTTTGATAGCATCCCTATGTAATATAAGGATTACCATGAAAAATATGCAGTGCTAAAACTGCTTAAGGATATGGACACAGCCGGTTGTGCTCTGCCGCATATTTGTATATTGTGGTGAGATGTAGGAAATGATGGCCTCTCAGGAGACGGATCTCATCGCTCAATGTACTCGCTCTTCCAGCGTGTAATAAAGAGAATATTCGAACCCAATAACCCCGCAGTTCTTTTTTTTCTTTGTTCCTCATGCTATTTACCATGCCCTTCATTGCTACATGAGGGGATACGTGAATTTCCGCGCGTTGGAAAAATATTTAACTTCACAGGACGGCATAATTCTCCTATAGGCTTGTAAATGCATAATATACGGGTCTATAGGGAATGTGTCCCACAGGATTGAAGTGTTATATAACTGGGGAAGCAATAGTTGTTCTCAAATGATATGCTTCAGATATTTTTGTCCTTTTTCTTTTTCCCGCTCCTTATCCTCAACTTATTATTCCCTATTGCGGACGTCTGAACAGCCTGCGATTTCTAGTGCGGCTTCTGTAGTTTCCGCTCCAATTGTTGCAACTGTATCGGCCTGAACAGGACCGGTCCCCGTAACTTTATTTTTTCTCTCTGTTTTATAGAACACAAGAGTTGATTTAGTGCTTACAGAGTGGAGGAGCATCACATATGCCATAGTTTTAATAAACGAAAAGAATTGCGCAGTCATTTTTTTTCCCGTCAGGCTTCAGTGCTTCGTCCTTAACACATTGCTGGGTAATTAGAAGGACAAATAAGTGCAGGACTCTCAGTCACTTTCTAGAAACTTCATTACGAAATACAATTTCTACATTTTGCGCCTTATCATTCGTTACCACCTCTATCCTAACTACATGTTGTCTTCTGCTATTGGAGGTGAATAGGGACATAGAATAATAGATGGCATACTATTTCTCCTTCCACATATTAATCGGATGATCGGGCAATATGTATGAGTTGTATTTGATGTGTTTCTCCCATCTAATTATGGATCTGAGATTCATTGGATTGCATTCATAAGTTTTCGTAGAGTTGACATGAATCGCTCTGTTACTCCAGAAAGTATGTGTTCTCTTAATTCTCTGCGGGATAATTCCCGGCACGCTTTATATATTCTGCATTTAAAGAACTCCCTTCATTGTTACCGTGTAAAGAACTCGTATGGACACAGTTCCGGCGTGACATAAATGTATCCATGTTATATCTCTCCATGGTGTGTTTTTCCACTACTCTATTATCACGGTGTACATCGTTCAGGTTCAAGAAGTTGTTTATCCCCTCTTGTATGACACATTTAGGTTTGTGGGATGGGTACCCCTTACTTCCTCTCCTGTGTTGGATTAGCTCATGGGGTTATATACATGTGTCATGTGTTTTAAACATCTGTACATGCTCTGTGTTTGCACATTTTTGTACGTGTTTTTCCAAGTAGTCCCCAATGTGTTATAAATTAGCATATTCTCTGAATTCAGGAAAAGAGATAACGAGTGAGATCATACACACGTCTTTTGCAACTCCCCTCACTTGTAAAGGCATCGGATTCCTGAATATCAATGTAATGTTTTGTTCTGTACAGCCCGGACGCTCATGTGCTGTTCGTCCTATATTCTATTAATTAGTGCGATGTATCCTTTCGGTAATGCCGTTTCAGAGTAACATAGAGACTTCCTTGTGTGTATTATCGCATACGTATGTGTCTTTTCGGAACGCCCTCTGTTCCTTTACTTCTTTACAGTTGTATTAGGGGAATATATTGTGCCCCCCGCCCTGAGTGCGATCCTAATAGATCATTTTGTGTCCAGCCTTCTCGTTTCCATCTCGATTCCTTATGGAGACTGAGGGACCTAGTGTTATCTTTGAAATCCTAGGAAGTGTCCTCGTCTGTGTGCTCTCACAACGCCGCAGAAAATGCTGTTATATATACAGACATGACTATTAAGACTGTTTGCAGCAATAAACTCTTTACCTCATGTATTTTAACACGTAGCACTATCATGTGTCATAGACGCATGCAGGACTTGTTCAAGAAGATATTTCAGGATCCATTCACCCATTTCTGTTCTGTATTTTTGGGGAAATTCTATATGTATGTGTACCTGCATTGTTACAGGAAATTCCTTTATTCTGTCCCATGTGTAAATTTTCTAAGAGAATAGGATTACATATAGAATACTCGTATTCTAAGACGCATAAAAGTGAGT